GGCTAGTGAAACAACTAAAGGTGAAATCATCCTACCAGTAAATGTAGCCGGAACTATTCAAGAAACAAAGTTCCATGTGATCGAGGGCGATATGAGATATAACACATTACTAGGAAGACCCTGGATTCACAACATGAGGGCGGTCCCCTCAACCCTTCACCAAATGCTGAAGTGCCCAACGCCGGATGGAGTAAAAACAACATATGGGGAACAACATGCTGCCAAAGAGATGTTCGCAGTTGATGAAGTAATACCGGTATCGGCGCTTTCATCAACAAAGGGATCGGAGTCCAAAGGAAAACATGAAGCTAAATAGAAACCACATCCACCAGCCTCGACTCAGTCAGAGAAGCAGGGAACAGACGAGGACGATGACTACTGGATCCCTCGGTCCTTCATAATCCCCGAGGATTCCGACGCCACCAAATCAACAGTCGAAGAGCTGGAGCAAGTCATACTGATCGAGCATCTACCCGATTGAAAGGTATACCTGGGTACGGGGTTAACCCCTGAGCTCAGGGAAAAACTCATTAAATTTCTTATCAATAATATGGATTGTTTTGCTTGGTCCCACCTAGATATGACAGGGATCCCGTTGGAGATCACTACACATCGACTGAGCTTGGACCCGAAGTTCCGCACGGTAAAACAAAAGAGAAGGCCCCAGTCCGAGGTAAAACATGTATTCATCAAGGACGAGGTACCCAAACTTCTCAAAATAGGATCCATTCGGGAGGTAAACTATCCCGAATGGTTAGCAAATGTAGTCGTAGTCCCTAAAAAGGGAAATAAACTTAGAATATGTGTAGACTATAAAGATTTAAACAAAGCATGTCCTAAAGACTCTTTTCCTCTGTCAAATATCGATCGCATGATCGATGCCACGACCGGCCACTAGATCCTTAGTTTTCTCGATGCTTACTCCGGATACAATCAAATACAAATGAACCCGGAGTATCAGGAAAAGACTTTGTTCATCACTAAGTACGACACCTATTATTATAATGTAATGCCGTTTGGACTAAAACATGTTGTTGCCACTTATCAACGCTTAGTAAATCGAATGTTCGAAGAACAAATAGTTAAATCAATGGAGGTTTATATTGAATATATGCTAGTTAAGTCCCTACGAGCAGAGGACCATTTGACACATTTGCAGGAGACCTTCGATATACTAAGGAAATACAATATGAAACTCAACCCGGAGAAATGTGCATTCGAGGTCGACTCGAGCAAGTTCCTTGGCTTTATGGTATCAAATAGGGGGATCCAAATCAACCCCGATAAGATCAAAGCAATCGAAGACATCACAGTCGTGGACAATGTTAAGGCCGTACAAAGATTAACAGGGCACATAGCCGCCCTAGGCCGATTCATCTCGAGGTCTTTAGATAGAAGTCATAGGTTCTTCTCACTGCTAAAAAAGAAGAACAATTTTGCATGGACCCCGAAATGCCAAAAAGCATTGGAAGAATTAAAGCGGTACCTCTCGAGTTCGCCACTGCTTCATACCCCGAAAGCGAACGAGCAACTTTACTTATACTTATCAGTCTCGAAAATCGCAGCGAGACTCGGTACCTACACTTAGAAAAATTAACGCTTTCCCTAATAAGCGCCTCTAGGAAATTAAAACCATATTTTTAGTGTCACCCGATCTGTGTGGTGACTACTTATCCCCTTCTCAATATTTTGCATAAGCCTGAACTTTCGAGCCGATTGGCTAAATGGGCCGTCGAGATCAGTGGGTACGATATCGAGTATCGACCTCGAATGACCATCAAGTCTCAAATATTAGCGGACTTCGTGGCCGACTTTATGCCAGCCCTCGTACCCGAGGTCGAAAAGAAACTATTATTAAAGTCGGGTACATCATCGGGGGGTGGGGGGTGGACCCTCTTCACAAACGACGCTTCGAACGTGAAGGGGTCCGGGCTAGGCATCGTTTTGAAGCCGCCCACGGGTAATACAATTAGACAAGATATCAAAACTTCCAATTTAACTAACAATGAGGCCGAGTATGAGGCCATGATTGTAGGTCTCGAGCTAGCTAAAGGTTTGGGAGAAGTGGTCATCGAGGCCAAATGTGTCTCCCTGCTTGTGGTAAACCAAGTCAATAGAACCTTCGAGGTTCGAGAAGATCGAATGCAGAGGTACTTGGACAAACTACAGGTGACTCTACATCAATTTAAAGAATGGACCCTACAACACATGCCTCGAGAACAAAACAGCGAGGCCAATGCCCTTATTAATTTGGGGTCATCAGTCGAAGACGATGAGATTATCTCGGGGACTGTCGTACAACTTTCAAGGTCAGTAATCGAAGAAGGCCACGCCGAAATCAATTCCAAAGGTCTAACTTGGGATTGGAGGAACAAATATATCGAGTACCTAAAGAACGGGAAGCTTCCATCGGACCCTAAGGAATCGAGGACTCTACGTACGAAGGCCGCACGATTCACATTGGCCGAAGATAGAATACTACATAGAAGGATGTTCGATGGGCCATTGGCAATATGTTTGGGACCAGGAGATACCGACTACGTCCTACGAGACATCCATGAGGGCACCTGCGGAAATCATTCTGGTGCCGAATCATTGGTTCACAAAGTCATCAGAGCAGGATACTATTGGGGCCGATATGGAAAATGATACAAAAGAGTTTGTTTGAAAAGTGTGACAATTGTCAAAGGTATGCGTCGATGATTCACCAACCACGAGAGCAACTCCACGCAGTCTTATTTGCATGGCCATTCATGAAATGGGGAATGGATATTGTCGGCCCTCTACCATCGATCCCAGGTAAAGTTAAATTTATTTTTTTTATGACTGACTATTTCTCTAAGTGGGTTGAAGCACAGGATTTCGAGAAAATTAGAGAGAAAGAAGACATAGACTTCATTTGGGACCACATTATATGCCGATTCGGGATGCCTGCCGAGATCGTATGCGATAATGAAAAGCAATTCGTCGGCAGCAAAGTGACAAAGTTTCTGGAAGATCACAAAATAAAAAGGATCCTGTCGATGCCATATCATCCTAGTGGGAACGGACATGCCGAATCGACAAACAAGACCATCATTCAAAATCTAAAGAAAAGATTGAACGACGCTAAGGGAAAATAGAGAGAAATATTGCCCGAAGTCCTTTGGGCATATCGAACAACGTCAAGATCTAGTACGGGGGCAACACCATTCTCTTTAGTAAATGGCATCGAAGCTCTGATCCCAGTTGAAGTCGGGGAACCTAGCGTCAGGTTTTGATATGCAACGAAAGAGTCAAATCAAGAAGCTATGAATACAAGCCTCGAAGTGCTAGATGAAAAACGGGAAGCCGCCCTCATTCGAATGGCCGCACAGAAACGGCGTATCGAAAGGTACTACAATAGAAGAGTCAATCTTCGACGCTTTAAAATTGGGGACTTGGTTCTGAGGAAGGTCACCCTCAATATTCGAGACCCAAACAAAGGAAAACTTGGCCCGAACTGGGAGGGACCTTATCAGGTCCTCGATATCATCAGAAAGGGATCCTACAAACTTGGCACGATGAACAACGAACAATTACCAAACAATTGGAACATATCACTCCTCAAATGATATTACTTCTAAGGTACGACCTTCTCCATTTTCGTTTATATTTTATACTAACCATTTGCAGGTGTTTAGTCGAAGACATCAAAGGATTCTTCAAACATAAAGTCCTTAGGTCTGAAAGTATGCAATGTACTTTTTCCCCCTTAGAACGGTGTTTCTCCTAAATGGGTTTTTCCGGCGAGGTTTTTAATGAGGCAACCATTGTTCGTGCTAACTTAGAGCAATTCAACAATATCTGAGGCTTCTTTACAATCAACCTCGAATACTGGGGGGCATCACCCTCGGATAGTTACAAGGAAAATACTTTGTGTCCAGAGGGTCTCGATAGGTAAATTTTGTGAAGGACCAAATGGTCAAATGAACCGTGTCCATGTAGATTACTCGAGCCCTAATGGCAAAACATGTACGCATGTATAATATATTGAAAGAAGTATTCTTCCTTACCAGATGTTCCATGCCTTATCGAAATTTATACTTTACAATTTCATAGTTATGATCTATTGTGGAAACTGGCTTAAGGGCCGATCACAACTGAAGTTCAAACAATTTACCCTATACTCGGGGACTGCCATCCAAAAAATCGACATGATCGAATTACTAAACCTCGAAATCGTAAGACTTAAAAATGCAATCCTCGATTTTATAGGCCACGGCCACCCCACTCGAGGACTGACACTTCGAACGAGTTCGAAGTATAGCAGGGAAACAAGCCTAAGGGGCAAATCCCAAACTAAAGGCTACGATCAAATTAACACGGTTCGGAGACGTCCGAATTCTGTTGTAAAATAGGCCTTCAAATATTCTCATAAACCGGTTAAAAAAGACAACTCTTGGCTGAATTACTAAGGGTCTCGATAATATCGACCCTCGAAAAACCCTAAGGGGCATCGAATTATTCGAACTCTCGGACAATTTTGTGCTAAGGCATAACAAAGCAAAGGATTTCGATAACACCAATCCTCAAAAAACCTAATGGGTACAAATTTATCTCGTGCTAAGGTATGACAAATTTTTATGATTAATTTTTCAAGCCAAAAAAGGGGAAAAGCCATTCTTTTGAGGCCATATCGGCCTATTTCAAAAGCCTAAGGGCCATTTTATTTTTTGAGTTCAAGAAATCGTCTTTACTTAACTAAAACCTAAGGGTCACTCTACTTCGAGTTCGAGCAAGTACTCACTCGATTTTACAGACTACAATGGTCCGACTTCGGTCTAGTTGCCTAAAGTCCCAAACTTGTGAGCAAAATCTCTATAAGGCATGAAGGCATGAATGAAATAGAATTTTCATGAGGCAGGAAATAGAATAAAGACAAGTCAAAGAGAAAAAAGATCTTTTATATATACGAATATATTTACAAGGACCGATCAGGGTCTCGCACAAAAAATCAAAAAAGAAAAAGCCTAATATTCCTAATTTTCCTCAGGGGAAGATTCTTCACCATCGAAGTCGTCATCATTCTCGAACCCACTCTTGCCGCCATCATCATCATCATCATCGGAAGAGGCCAGTGCCCTAGCATCATCTTCATGCTCTTTAGCCTTTATTATCTCGTTGGTAAGATCGAAACCTCGAGCGTGGATCTCTTTGAGAGTTTACCTCCGAGATTGGCATTTGGCGAGTTCAACAATCCAATGTGCTCGAGTTTGAGCGGTCTCGGCTGCCTCTCTAGCTTGGACTTTAGCGGCTTCAGCATCGGCCCGGTAGATGGCCACGATCGCCTCTGCCTTTGCCTTTTCTGCTTCAGATTTGGCCTCTGCAAGTTCGGAAGCCAACCGAGCCTCGAGCTCCTCTATTTTCTTTGCTTGAGCTGATCTCTTGTCCTTCATGCCTCGAAGCTGATTTTCGACCGATGACAATTGAGCTCGAGAAGACTCTTTTTCAGCAGCAAAGTGGTCTATACTTTCTTTCCACCCCAAGGTCTCCGCCTTCATCATGTTGACCTCCTCGCGGAATTGCTCGATCCTCTTGACCTTCTGCTGTAACTGTGAGATTGAAATGATAGCCACTATTCCCGAATCGAGCCCATGAGCTTTTAAGATTTTCATTACCTGCTCGATCAGGTCGGTCTGATCTTGGTGAGCCTTGCCAACTCAGCTTGGAGGTCCTTGATTTCCTCTTCTTTTTGCCCACTGAGAATTTTAAAGGCATTTCTCTCCTCCATGACCCCTCGGAGGTCGGCCTCATATCGGCTCAGCTCTACTCTGGACTTTGAAAATGCCTCCTGATGGAGTGCAAAAGCCTATATGGAAAAAAGAAATGAAATTAGACAGGAAGAGAATAAATAAACTAAGTATGATATCGACAAAGGGAGTTGAGACTCACCCGATTCAAGGCTTGTTGAGCCTCATCGAGGAGACTCGACGCTGCACTTAGGTCGGTAGCAGCCTCGACCCTGATAAAGTAACCACGGAAGAGGTCCTCCCCTCCATGAGCTCCATCTACTTTGGGAGTCCTCATAGCTTAGGCCTCCCGAATTTCCTCCTCGGAAAATGCAGGGAGAATCGGCAAGTCTCCAATATCTATTGCCCCAAGTGAGCCACTTAGGGCGTTCTCCTCGCTGCGAAGGGCCTCAGATCCGGCCCCTTCAGACATACCCTCCTTTTTCTCATCTCGGAGGGAGGCATCTTTGATCTTTGATGACTCGGGGACTTTGCCCGAGTCCTTTTCCAAGACCCCCTCGGCTCGAGGTGGAATCTACTCAACCACTACCGACTCAGAGGCCTTTAGGGCCTCGATGGTTTTCTTCACTCGGGCCATCATTTTGACCCATCATCTTTATCTTCTTCTTCTTCCTCCCTTAGCCGTTGAATCACAGTCGCATGCAAGGCAACGATGTCTTTCTTTGGCTTACAAACTGAATTCTTCTTAGGCTTTGGAGTCTCGGAGGTTGAGGTCCTTTTCCTCTTCTTATCCTTCACCGGTCTCGAAACCGGGGTCAAAGTCTCCTCCTCACCAGACGGACCCCTCATGACCGCATCCTTGCCCAGGCCTGTACACGAGAAAATTGAATAAGTAGAAGAAGGGCATCTTAATCAAATCATCAAAAACACAAAAAATGGGCTTACCATGATTCTTGGCCTCCCATCAGCCCTTTGCTAAATCGCATCATGAGCGCTCGACATATGTAGAGGTCGAGGCCAGGTTTCGAACCCAGCTCTCAAGGTCGAGAATCGCACGAGACATCCAAGCGACCGCTACATCATGAAAAAGAAATCAATGAGAAAAGTCAAATGAACAAATAATATATGTAAGATAACAATGAGATGGTACTTACAATTCATGTTCTATTTCTCAGGAAATGGCATATTCTCGACTGGGATTAGGTCGGAAGTCATCACTCGAACAAACCAGCCCATCCAACCTTGATTCTTGTCCTCGTCTATGCTCGAGATCAACACTTTGGTAGCCCGACGTTGGAGTTTTATTAACCCACCTCGATAGAGGCGGGGACTATACAATCTGATAAAGTGATCGAGGGTGAAATGGAGCCCCTCGACTTTGCTCACGAAGAATCAGGGCAGAATAACAATCCACCAAAAGGAATGATGGACTAGGCCTATGGTTATTTGATATTGACGACAACAAATCAATGATGACAGGGTCGAGAGGGCCCAACTTGAAAGGGTAAGTGTAAACACTTAGAAACCCTTCCACATGGGTGATTATGTCTTCTTCGGGGGTCGGGATCACCACCTTTTTGCCCTCCCAGTTGCAGTCTTTCTTTACCTGCTTAAGGTATCCCTCAGTTATCGAACATATATACCTCGACATTGGCTCGCATCGACTAGGAATCGACGAGGCTTTATTGGTCTTGAAATCGGAGTTTAGCGCGCACCCCCGAGGAATACATTTCTCAAGATGGGGTTCCACCGGTGTTTTCCTGCCAGTCAGTTGAGAAGATGAAGCAGCTTCTTTTTGTAGTACCGTTTTTGATTTTTTTGCCATTTTAGTGTGAGTTTGAAGAAGAGGAAAATAATAGGACTTGATGTCTGAGAAAAGATTAACAGCAAAACCTGAAGATTTGTAGAATGAAAGAACTTAAGAGATATAAAAGCTTTGGAGATTAGAAGGAAATGAAAGTAAAGTTTGAATCAATGAGAAATTGGTCTATTTATTGGATTCACGGCGACGATTCAAAGGCACTAGTGGCCGACCACCAACTGACACTCATTAATGACTTGGGGAACTGTAGCAACAGGACGTTTCGATCACTTCCGTCGCTTACGCCACAAGGATGACGTCATGACAGGTCGAAGTAGAAAATCGAAGGCTCAATTCATTTCTTGACATTACACTCCAAAGAACGAGGGGACTATATGTATACGGTTAAAATCAGGCCCGCCCGATTTTACTATTTGACTGAGACCGGGAGGTTGCATCGAAGGACGACCTCGTAACAGAACAGACTAAATCACGAGAGGATTAGGTACCAAGTTTAGAATCGAGGTACATGTCGAGATCAAGGCTAGTAGAGATCAAAGCCAAATAAGACAGACATCGAGCAAGATCGAAGATAGCAAAATAACAAAAAGGCGAGATATACGTGACTAGTCGAGGGTCAGGCGTAAATCATGGAACGGATCAAATCAGAAATGGTTAATTAGCTAATCATGGGATTTCCTTCTGTAATTAGAATAATATCTTCTGGAACTTGGCGAAGAAGTATGTGGAGAGTCCACTATTTTAGCCTTCAAACTTTGTTGCAGGGTGCTTAAAATTCCTTTCTTTTGCTGTGAGAGACGACCCGAGTGAGAAGACGATACCCCCAAGGAGGACTTTGGCACATCTTATGAACCTTAATGTCGTATATGATGAGATCCCCCTTTTTTCTTCACAAGAATCATTTGCTAGTTTTCAAAGCTTGCAGTAGAAAATTCATGTCCGAAGCGCTAGCTTTCTGATTCTTTTGGAACTAGAATTCAATAGCTCCAATGCGTGTCAGAGGACTGAGGCGATGGTCCTCCAATTTTGTTTTTTTCTAGGTAATTATTTTTTTTAGTCCACTTCAGATTCTTCCATATCATTTCCTCATACCCGCATCATGCCTTAACCAAAAACTTGTGCCTAAGTGTAGATGAGTCAAATTGCAAGCCGCTCGATGCACCAGCAACCATATTTAGAAGGCAGCAATGTATCAAAATTCCTTTCGGATTGACCAGAATTAATTTCTAAAGTTTATTTCTAGGTCTGACAAGTCGACTTTGCAGCTTTGCGCACTCCTATTGAGAAATTTATATCTCGGGTTAGGAGTATTCAAATCACAAGCCTCTTGTTTCTTGTTTCCACAGAGTTAAAACTCGAAGGGTTGTGGCATCTCAAAAATTCATATCCAAACTCCTTCATGATTGGCCAACTTAATTTCTGAATTTGATTTATAAATATGATCACACTCTCACTGAATAAATCATATCTTGGTGAAGGAGAGTCCAAAATACGAGGGATTGATCATCCTAAAATAATACAAAGGGCTGCAGCATATCCAAGAATCAGAGCAAAATTCTTGCTGTACTATCTCAGATAATGTTTTGAGTTTTCGTTTCAGATTGACTTTTCAGATTGCGTGCCTTCACAAAAATAATTATATTCTGGTGTACGAACATCGAAATAACTAGCAGTTTGCGACCATCAAAACTAGACTTCTAGAGCTACGATATATATATATTAATCATAATCTGACTGTCCCTATATCTTCCTAGATTTGTTTCAAAAGTTAGTGTATACGGTTAAACCGGGCCCACCCGATTATACTATTTGATCGAGACCGGGAGGTTGCATCGCAGTACGGCCTTGTAACGGAACAAACTAAATCACGAGAGGATAAGGTACCGAGTTCAGAATCGAGGTACATGTCGAGATCGAGGCTAGTAGCGATCGAAGCCAAATGAGACAGACATCGAGCAAGATCGAAGATAGCACAATAACAGAAAGACGAGATATCCGTGACTGGTCGAGGGTCATGGCGTAAATCTCGGAATGGATCAAATCAAAAATAGTTAATTAGCTAATCATGGGATTTCCTTATGTAATTAGAATTATACCATAAGTGGAATTCCTCTACTATATAAAGGGGGTTCTAATCATTTGTAAGGGAGATTGTTCATAGATATCAAAGCAATATAATTCTCTTTCTCGTTTATACTATTGTTTATCTGCTTGTTATATTTTAATTGTTCTTGCATCAACCAGTTCGAGGGTATTCAAACTCGAGGGCTGAGTTCCATTCTAACACTGGTTTGCTTTACTTTATAGTTCATTTATGTTATTAATCTTCATATTTATCAATTGGTATTAAGTGAAATAACGTGTCCTTAGAACCACATTATAAGTTTAATTGTTATCTAATTTTAAGGGTAAATAGTTAAATAACGAGTTATGACATGCTGGCTTCTTCAGCTTTGCGCGCTCTTGCCGAAAAATTCATATCTCAAGATAGGAGTGTCTAAATAACTGTCACAACCCAAAATCTCACCCGTCGGGATGACGCCTATCTTAATACTAGGAAAGTCGACAATCTCAATAAACCTCATATCTTTTAAGTTTGAAAACATAATGATTAAATTCAGCAGAAGAAATCTCACAAGTACAAATATAAATACTCCCAAAACTCGGTGTCACTGAGTAAATGCGCGTCTAATATGAATACAAGTCTGTAAAATACGGTCCATAATAGTCTGAGACCAAATGCAGTAAATAAGGAGATAGGGAAGGAGAGGCAAGGTATGCGAAACACGGTAGCTACCTCTGAATCTGTGGAAAATAAACTGTGTGAAAGAAATCAACACCCGTTATGGCCGGGAATACCTGAATCTGCACACGAAGTGTAGGGCGTAGTATGAGTACAACCAACTCAGTAAGTAACAATAATAAATAAAGAACTGAGGATAGTGACGAGCTACACAATTATAGTTCACTTTCAGTAATTCGAGCAAAGAATAGACATGCTTTCAAATCCAGCAGTTTAAGTCAAATCAATTTTATACAGTTCAAGTTCATGTAATCCGGATATAAAATCTTTCAGAGAATTTCACAACGACAGATAGCAACTAAGTGCAATAACAAATGAAAAGTAAGTACAACCTCTCAATGCAACAATCACTCAACTCAATACAACAACTCAACCACTCGTCTCTCAGCCCTGAGCACTCACACTCAATGGGTACTCGCGCTCACTAGGGGTGTACAGACTCCGGAGGGGTTCCTACAGCCCAAGCGCTATATTCTGCACGGACAACTCACGTGCCATAGTATAAATATCTAGATCCGCACGGACAACTCACGTGCCATAGTATAAATATCTAGATCCGCACGGACAACTCACGTGCTGCACGGACAACTCACGTGCTATAGTATAATATAAGGATCCGCACGGATAACTCACATGCTGCACATATAACTCACGTGCTATAGTATAATATCTCAAAATCAGGCCCTCGGCCTCGCTCAATCATAAATCTCTC